TTAATATTTTTGTATTTTAATCTAGGAAAATACTTAACCGACTAAAAAATATTTGTTAATTGATAATTTTAATATATTTGCCTTTTCAAATCACTTTTCTATAATAATCAAGTCATTATTTAAGTAATGTTTGACACACACTGAGTTTTTATTCTCAAATTACGTGATAAAAGCGTAAAATTTATGCGATTTTGTATTTTATACAATAAGAAGACAATGTTTATAATAGAACATTACAGAAATATTTGAATTGAAGATATTGGGTTGAGTCATGTAAATCATAGGTGTTATATTCACTTATACTTAAAATTTTGCATTGTATAAAAAACAATATCGTATATCAGTTAAAAGTTATAACAATGACTGTTGTAGTTATATATGAATTTAGTAATATACCTAAGACATAATATATTTAATTAATTTTATCTATTGCAAATGTGGTTAAAGTTATCAAACTTATATTAAAACAGATTCATACATTATGGCGTAAAATCAATTGTCAACGATAGGTGTTGTTTATCATAAATTTTGAAGTAATTCAGGTGTATCAACGGGTTTTTATATTATATTAAAATAAAACGAAGAACGTGTTATTATAACAATTATTTTTCAAACATATTTTTAATTTATATATTTTTGATGAATGTGCATTGTACAACTACTGTTAAGGATAGTAAAAGTTATTTTTGTACTTCAAAAGTTGCGTGCAGTTCTAACAATAATGTAACACTGGTATTCTTGACAGTTTTTTTTTTTTTTTAATTAATCGAATGGTATATTTTGAAATTTAACTAAAATTGACTTATATTTTTCTTTAAAATAAACCAACATGAAATTAACTGACTGAAATATAACGCTCTGATATCCGTTTAAGATCGTTTGTTCAATTGTTGTGATTTATCATTGTGCTTTGGAAATTTAAAAATTTAAACACACTAGCCTTTATTTTATATCTTACTAACTTAGTCACATTCTGAAGTATTAAAATGATCTCTTGTGGCTCACCAATTTTCTGAATCAGCACTTTTATTTATTTAGATCGCTTAATGTTTGGCAAAATAAATTTAGGGGCGCGCACGAAATACCCGACAATAAAACAGCTGAACCGTAATATAGCCGAAAAATATTTTAACCGAAAAATAATTTAGCCAACAAATATAACAATCGACAATATTTTAACTGGCCGAATTCAAGCCAATAAATATTACAGCCCAATACATTTAAGCCAATAAATATTACAGCCGACAAATATTTGATAAGAGCAGATTTAATAAACTGGTTTTTAACTTGGAGATAAACGTGGAGAAGATAAGATTACGTATAAGATTCGTACTAAGAAATTATTAATATGGTAGCTATAGCTATAGCTGATTAGTTATTTCCTTAATTCTGAGCTGAACTTATTTGTTCTATAATTGAATGGTGAATTTCAAAAAGAGCTCATCTCAAGTTTTTATCAAAATATACTTTGCTAATTTTTTTTCATCTACACATGTAGACTGAGCGAGAAGGGTTCATATCTCTTTTCTATTGTGATGAATTAATGAATTAATTATTTTTAATTGCTAATCTAAAGAAAATAATTCAAAAGAAAATCAGTTTTTTGTTTCCTGAAAAATTTGAACTTTCAGATACGAGTTCTTTTCATAATTCACGATTCAATTATATTAAGAATATTTTTGAATTTTACATATATTAGTGAAAATTATAAGCTATTAAAAAAAGATAAAAACTTAATCGACCATACTTTAAACTGAGTTCATTCTTCAGAAATACAATTATTTTCTTCCAAAAATGATATCTATAAAATAAAGGAAAAATTAAAACCGCTAAAAATAAAGTAAAAATGTAAGCTAACACATTCCTTTAAATCAGGGACTGGAACTTATAGGTTTTTTCGGTTCCAGTTTCGATTTTAGTTGTTTCATTAATTTTTGAAGGTTTCCGGTTTAGGTTTCGATTTTTTAAAAGATTAAGGGTTCTAGAACCGGTTAATTTCGGTTAATTCTGATTATTAGAGATTTGTTAAAAAATAATATGAAATTATTTATTTATTCTTATTTAAATTGTAATTGTTTACTTTCATGAAAATAGAAGGTATTATGAATAGTTAAAAAAAATAATTATATATATATATTATATCAGCATATTATTTTTTTTTGAGTTAGGTTAACTTATTTTATTCCAACTCTTAGTAAGAATTTGTAAAATATTTTGTAATATTGTGAAATATTATGATTTGAAGAAATAAATATCTTTAATTTAAAATTTAATTTTAATTAGGAATCAAAGTTAATACTGGCTAGGCTAATGTTGTAGCTACACATTTTTTATAAACATTATATTTAATATTATTTAATTATATTTAGTACTTAATAGACAAAATAGATGATTAACTTATTGTAAATTGTAATATATTAATAAACATACAAAAATAATAATAATAATAATATTAAAAATTTATTTATTATATGCATTACACTATTACAGTTTACAAAATAAAATAATAAAAACATAAAAAGATTTGACTTTTATTTTTCTGAATCAACAAATGGACAAACAAAGTAGTCATTAACATAGTTTTATTAGTCTAAATACAGTTATATAAATTATCCTAAATTAACCCTTTTATAATTAAGGTTACGTTTACGATTACGGTTTTTCATTTTTGGAGATAAAGGTTCCGGTTTCAGTTACGGTTCTTAAATTTTTAAGGTTAACCGGTTCCAGTACTGGTTCTTTTCGGTTACGGTTATGGTTCCTGCTTTAAATGAAATGTAACTTTTATTTTAGCTCCTACACTTTTCATTTAATACATTTTTTAAATTTATTTTCTATATTTATCATTATATTTAATGCTATTTATTTAATAACTATTTTGTGTTAAATTTTTACTTTTTATTTTATAATAAAAATTTTAATAATTTGATTGTTTACTAGGAGCTTTTACGTGAATTTGTTGTAACATGTAAGGGAAAGAGGAAAATTTTTCATTTATTTTTTTAATGCTTTTTCGGCTGATCAAGTGTAAGTATTAATTTATGAGTATTTATAGTAGAAGATTTATTAATGTTTTAAGTTTCTGCAATTTAGAAAATTAGATAAATGAAAGTGAATATTTTGTAAAAGATAATTATCATTTATATTTAAATTAATATAACTTGAGTAATTATAAATTTTCGTTATGAAATGTCAAAATTTAATTTGTTTGAAACCGGTTTTAACCTATGTACTTGAATTTTTACGTTAAGCATATTTTTTCATTCAAATATACTTCATATTTTAATATTTATGACTATTTTGAAGACAAGTTGGGATCAATCCTAGTAACAAAATATTATTAACCAAATTAGAAATATAAGATTTTAATTAAAAAAAAAAAAAAATAAATAAAAATAGATTCAATGAAGTATAAATAAAATATAATTATAAAATGCCATATTTTAACAAATATATAAAAGGAGAAAAATGTTGAAACTATAAACAACTTTTAATTATAATTTAAATTGTACACAAAAAACTCAATTGAATTACCTTTAAATGTTTAAAAGGAAAAAATAGGAAAAAATCACTTAATTTTATAAAGATAAATGTAAAATGCAATAATCCTTAAAGAAATAATCTTATATTTTAGTAATTATGATATTGTAATAATAACGAATACCTTATGAATGATACGAAATATGTATACACTAACATACCATATAATAACAATTACTTAGTAATCCACACAATCATTGATTAAATATACCATATGTGTATATTTAATACTCGACACAAATATAACACATTTAAGTATAGCTGTTTGTTATTTAAAACGAAGAATTGAAAATATTAGATATTAAGTGTATTTGCACAGTTGCAGGTTGAATCGTTATAAATAAAACATTTCCCATTTCAACTATATTGTTCCTTTAAAGGGTAAAAGTCAATATTTGTATTTAATTAAAAAGGAATAACCAAAATCGAAATCCCAGTAATTCAGCAAATTAATTTCGGTCTGCATAATATAATATTATTGCATCTATATCTGAAAATAATGTAAAACCACTAATTAAATAAATAAATGTTTAATACTATTATTGTTTGAGTATAGAATAACTAAAATCTCTTCCAAATCACTTATAATTATATATAGTAGGTATGTTTATTTACTTATCAGTGTCTAAAATATCACATTAGGCATAGTTTTACTAATATTTTTGAGTAACAGTTTGTTCTTATACGATGTTGACGTACTTAATACGTAATGTATATATTGTAAGTTATTATATTATAAGTTTGCAGGAAACATTCAGATAGGTTATTTAGACCACATTGACATTTCTCGAAAAAAGTTTAAATGTTAGACATCCTACAACTATCGACACTGAAATTTAACCTTTTTATGTTTGTATCATTGCGCTTATAGAACTATAGTATAATTATAATTATTCAGTACACATAAATGGAAACATTTTTTATATAAATTATATAATATCAAATCTACGTACTTTAGATCTAATAGGTCACTTGACGGCTAAAAGTGAATAGTAGATATTTTTGGGAATTATTTGGTAGTTTTGTAAAGTGCCTTATAATCATTTCAGCCCATTTCGATTATTTCATATTCATAGATTGTATTTAATCAATTAATAATCATAAATATTACTGAACAACTAAAAGGGACTTGATATTTTTTTTTTATGTAACATTAGCTTATCCAAAAATTTATTAGTATTTTCAGTGAATATTTAAAAAAAAATCAAGTTTTCGATTTACTAAGTTGTATCCAGAGTTATGAAATATATATGTTATCGAACTCTCGACTTTTCAAGATCTCACTGAACATTTACTTCTAACGACAATTGTTAAAAGTAAATTTTATTATTTTATGGTTTATTCATTACGAAAATAAAATACGTAATAAATTTAATTTAGTAATTAATTTAGAATATAATATTAATTTGACTTGAAAAACTAGCCGTATATTGAGATCATGTAAAACCCATTTGTTTTAGTATTTGAAAATGGCCCAGTGGCTGCTGTGGTTTGGCTATTTAGTAGCCTCTAGTCATGGGCTTTCCTTGCGTCATGCCAGGCATCAGAGTGTCGGGACACCAACAGCGGAAGAAATTCTGGAACCACAGATTTTAATCGAAGACACCGACCATGTGTTCAGACAACGAGCGTCGGATATGTTCGCCCAAGAACCAGAATATGTGGAAAAACGGAATCTAAACCATCGACGAAGGTGCGTAAAAATCAAAAACTTATTTTTGTTGAGATTTATATTATGGGGTCGGTTTATTGTTAATTATTAACAGGTCTGAGTTCGAAGGAAATCAGGATAGTGGTTTTGAATCTTCTGGGGAGACGTACAGTGCATACACAACGGATGATCCATTGATAATTCATACGACCAAGGGTAAGATCAGAGGGATTACGCAGACGGCATCGACCGGCAAGTTAGTGGACGCCTGGTTGGGAATACCTTACGCGCAAAAACCACTAGGTTAGTATGAATTACACGTTATTCTGTTTAAGGTATATAGATTGATAGTGAGTATATAGGATGATTTTTTAAGCATGCTCACCCCGTTTTCTGCTTAACTGTGTTATATTAAAATTCCAATAAAATTAACTGAATAATTATTTGTGAGAAGAAAATTGGTGTTCCCATTTAAAAAATAAAAATTGATATTGCCACAGAAACTCTCCTTAAGAGAAACAAAAATCTGTTTATTAGATTTCATTGCATTATAGTATAAATATATTATTCATAAATCAAAATTTGAACAAATACCTAATTTAAACACAAAAAAGGATGAGCATGCTTAAAAAATCATCCTGTATAAGATTTGATTGATATTAAGGGTTTTGTATTGTATAGGTGATCTTAGGTTTAGGCACCCTCGTCCCATGGACCCCTGGGACAAGACGAATCCAGAGACGATCCTTAACTGTACAACTCCTCCGAACACGTGCGTTCAAATATTTGACACGCTTTTCGGTGATTTTCCTGGCGCCACGATGTGGAACCCGAACTCACCGGTATCAGAAGACTGTCTTTACATCAACGTAGTGGTGCCAAAACCCAGGCCTAAGAACGCAGCGGTCATGGTTTGGATATTTGGCGGAGGATTTTATTCCGGGTCCGCCACATTGGATATTTATGATCCCAAGATACTCGTGTCCGAAGAAAATGTGATTTTAGTGTCAATGCAGTACAGGGTCGCGTCTTTAGGATTTTTATACTTTGACATCGAAGACGTTCCGGGAAATGCTGGACTTTTTGATCAGCTAATGGCCTTAAAATGGGTGCACGATAATATTCATTTGTTCGGTGGCAATCCTAACAATGTGACACTCTTCGGAGAATCCGCTGGCGCTGTTTCCGTTTCGCTGCACTTACTGTCGCCGCTGAGCAGGAATCTTTTTAACCAAGCCATCATGGAATCAGGATCGTCAACAGCGCCTTGGGCAATTTTGTCTCGTGAAGAAAGTTACAAAAGAGGATTAAAACTAGCAAAGTCATTGGGATGTCCAGACGATAGGCAGTCCATTAGTAAAACGATCGAATGTCTGAGAAAGGTAAACAGCACAGAAATCGTGGAAAAAGAATGGGATCACGTGGGTATATGTTTTTTCCCGTTTGTTCCGGTTGTCGACGGTGCTTTTCTGGACGACTATCCGCAAAAATCGTTGTCTACCAATAATTTTAAAAAAACCAATATACTCATGGGAAGTAACTCGGAAGAGGGTTACTATTCAATATTCTATTATTTGACAGAGCTTTTCAAGAAGGAGGAAGACGTGTTAGTGTCTCGTGAGGATTTTATAAAAGCTATTGGGCAACTCAATCCAAACGCAGACGCTGCAGTTAGGTCGGCTATAGAGTTCGAGTATACCGACTGGCTTAGCCCTAACGATCCGGTAAAGAATCGAAACGCTCTGGACAAAATGGTCGGTGACTATCAATTCACGTGCAATGTCAACGAGTTCGCCCATAAGTATGCATTAACGGGAAACAACGTGTACATGTATTATTTTAAGCATCGTTCTTTAAACAATCCGTGGCCGAAATGGACAGGTGTGATGCACGGTGATGAAATAAGTTATGTATTTGGAGATCCGTTGAATCCAACAAAAAAATACGAAGTAGAAGAAATTGAACTCAGTAAGAAAATTATGAGATATTGGACGAATTTTGCTAAAACAGGGTTAGTATAATTTTATTCTTATTACCATTTATCGCTTTTTTTTTTTTTTTTGTAAATTCCGTATGAATTCAGTTTTGCTTAAAATCACGCCAATTTAATAACAGAAATATAAAATTTAAAAGGGTTTATAGACTAAAAATAGTCTTGATTTTTATTATATTTTTTATTTAATTTTAATTTTATTAAACAAAATACGTATTTTTAAAAATTATACTTGTATATATATATATATTTTTTTTTTTCAGCAGAAGTTAAATTAAAATCTAAATTAAACTTTTAACCAAAAATGTTTTTTATTATATTACACATTTTTCTTTTCACTCAAGAAAATTATTTAAAACATATACTACGAACACTTTTACTAATTATATTTTTGTATTATAAATAAAGAGACATTTTTTTTTAATTTCAATAAAGTACCAATGATCTTTTATAGTAAAAAGTATTCTCAAAGTAATCATAAATCACAGTGATAATTTTATTTTAATATTTAAATGGATTTTAAATAATTTTCTTTGTACAAATTTATAAGCCTTGAAAATAAGTAACTTTGTTGAAAGTTAATAAAAAAAAAAAATATATACATCAATAAATAAATAACTTGAAAATTTGATTTAATATAAATGTATCGATAAATTATAAGATGGAATATATAATAACTATGAATTTTTAACAGTAATTAGTTTTCAAAGAATAATTATAATTCAGAAAATAAATTATAAAAAATTGTATATTTCATTAAGACTGATAATAAAAGGTTTCTTTTATAAGATGTGTAAAAAACATGTACAATAAAATCTTCAAAATTATTTTTTTTTATATTATTTTAACGTTATAAGCAGTATTGTTCTGTCTCTATTTTCTGCGAAACCGTTTTTTGTTCACGTAGAAACTACAAAGCGTCCGAGTGTAATTCCATATCTAGGTTACAGTTAAACTTGTCTTGAAAATTCGTTCAAAGTTCGTGAAAATAATAATATATACCTACTAAAAACCAATCTAAAACCATAAATGCATGTTTATCACCACTTTAGAATAATAATTTTTCAACACTAAGAAGTCAATTTATTTGAGGAAATATCTTATGATATTTCGATTACCATATGAAACAAAAAAAAAAAAAACTAACGACGAAAGAACTCCCAATGTACACAATATCGCTATATCCGAAATTAGGTTACAATTATTCATAATTAATCAAGTACATAAAAGAAAACAAGGTTGTTTATTTTTTTCGCGTGATAGCTACTAATGTTTATGCTTTATTCTTATCACAATTTGGGTTTGAAAATTCCTTCTTTATATTATAATCTACCTTTAGAATCATATCTAGTAGTTATAATGTTTACTCGTTATCATATAAACTATTAGTCGTGTACAAAAGTCGGATGATTTGATTTTTTTTTTTTTTAAAAAAACCACCGGTAGAAATTTTTTAGGTTTTGTCGACGTTTTAGTGAACAACACGACGAGAATTTCTTTGGCAATAATTGTAACATAATGCGTTTTGACCTGCTACACATCGATTTTTTTAAACAAAACACTTATTGTCAGTGAAACACTCCAAACTAATTATTTTGACCCTAATAATTGCCGTTACAAGCGCTCGTTAAGTTCCGGGTCGTTGAGAAATTTACCCCGGTCACATTTTGACTCTATATTATTCATTAGATAAACCACAAGTGTTTCTTTACTTCTAAATTTCTATCGCTTATAGTTAGGATAAAATCTTTGTTTAATTTTTAATAGTTTATATTGAAAAAATTTAACAGTACAAGCCATTCAAATGTTAACTTTATAAAATCATACGAACACGTTTAAAATAAACAGTTTCAGCGTATGAAAATTCCGTAAACATTGTCAAAATATTTTGAAACTAAATATTAGCTTATTCCTTTACAGGTTTTTATAGTAAATTCTTTTTTTTTTTAAAAAAAAACTGGAAATTTAAAAAAATTTACCATAAGAAATATTAATATTTTTGTTTATACATCAAATAGGGTTAAATACTAAAATGATTGAATACCTGTAATAATATGGTTATTTTTATGAATAAATAGTAAATTAGTTGACTATATTAGTATACTTATTAGGTTATTTGATAATTAGTTAATTGAAATAATAAACTTTATTTTCCACTTTTTGATTTTACTAAAAAAAATGATCTTAAAAAATTTTAGATTTTTAAAAATTTTTAATATATTTCTTGCAAAAATATTTTTACAAATCTATAAAACAAAAATTTAATCAGAGAGCCTTAAATTAAACTTTTCGACGGTAGTTTGTTTACTTTAAGAGATTGGGTTATTTATGCTTATGACCGTCCCGATCATCCGTTACATCTGTATAGTCTACACGAGTACTACATATGTTTGTCATTTAATTAATTAATTAAATTATGTACATGATTATGTTGTCATAGTTCTCGGGAGAAATTATTTTTTACTTTTTTTATTGACTTCATTTGGTTTGAAATAAGTAATCATTTCAATTTCGGGCTTATTTAAATAGTATTTATGTTTAAAAATAAAAATATTTTCTATATAAATTTGGGAAAAACTGTTTTCTTCATTATCATAATTTTTTTTTTTTTTTTAGAAATCCAAGCAAAACACTTGAAGGGTCTTGGGTCACGCCCAAGTGGCCTGTACACACGGCGTATGGAAAAGAGTTTCTAACATTAGACACAAATAACACTTCTATCGGCGTTGGGCCAAGACTAGAACAATGTGCTTTTTGGAAAAACTACGTTCCTGATGTTGCGGCCATTTCAAGTAGGGTTGACCTAAATTAAACCTCATCGAACTATCATAGAAGAGAAAATACGATTCAATCAGTATAAGAATTGTTTTTTGTATTTTAGAGAGTATGAAGTCTGACAGAAACTGTACTAAAAATGGAGGGACCAAAACTAACATGATTGAGTTATCGCTTTGGACAATTTTAATGACAACTGCAGTTATGGTGTTATGAATTTCATTTTGATTCATCTAAAAATAAGTAATATAAACACACATTTGTATTAATTTCAAGCTGTTGGCAACAAAAGAAACTTTGAAGACAATTCAGTCTAGGCTACCGTTGGGCTTCCAGCAGGAACGCGCGCACAAAATAAAATTAATTTTTTTTCTCTAAGATTTAAATAGGCCTATTAAACGGCAATATTGCGCTAGTTGTTAGCCAATCGGCCTTCGCGTGCGACGTTGGCAATTTTCTTACACCGTACTTAGGCTTAAAACATTTTTTTACCATGTATATAACAATTATTATTATTATTATTATTATTATTATTATATACTTATTATTATAATTATGTTTAAATGAATCTATATATATATATTATACCATATATAATATATATATATAATATTTATGTATAACATATCATCGTGTACCTTGATAATATTGTAGGTGTAGAATGTTGGTTTAAAACTAGCCAATATTGTTTCACTTCAAAAGACCTTGCTTTTGTTATGATTAAATAATAGTGACCTATATTATGTATTATGTATGTTATTATTGTAATTTTATTCGACCACTTGAAGAAATTTAGTTTTACACGACTTTCGCTTCCGAAAAATTCAATCATTGTTGTCCGAACAGTAATAATCATTTAATCATTTGAATATAAATTACATTATTGCGCAAGCGCGATAATAAAACCAACTAAGGAATACGCGTTTACTACGCATTCGTATCTTGGCTTGCGCGCAGGACTGTCGTCCATTGCATTGATAAGTTATTATAGTTATTAAGATGCTTATTGTACAATTTTCGTATTGTTTTCAATGTTCTATTTGTTGTTAAGTGTTCATTCTTATTTTACTTTAAGCTTAGTATTTATTGAAAGAACAGTTAAACTGCCATCAATTTAATCGTTTCTGAGTGTAATAAAATGGAATTCAAGAAAAAATATATTTTTTTCCCTAAGTCTTTTTTTCCATAGTGTATTTTAGATTAAATCCATTTATCCATTATAGTCTCATCGACGAATTTTAATTTTAATTTATGATAAAAGGTTTAATTTTAATTACATTCTATTAGCGAATTAAATATAATAAAATATATGAAATAATATATTTTTATTTATTTATACGAGTAGATCATGTAAAATATAATAACACTATTATTGAGTGATATGTTAAAAAATCATTAACATTTTCTAAACACAACTATATAAGTAATCATTTTTGAAGGCGATATAGCTTATCGTAATTTGTTGAGATTAATATAAATTTTGGCTTATCTTTCTTGTTTATATATATATATATATATATAAGCTATACATTTACTTTTAATATATTAATGACAACTAAAACGTTTAATTTAAATCAATGTTTATTTTTATAGTGTGCACCAAATACAATACACAAGGTACACAGATTTTTGGATTTCAACATTTAATCGACAAGGATGAATTGAAAATAAAATCACCTCGCCGTATAATCTATCTGTGCATTCTTTTATCATATTTCATATCTCATCACTAAATTGCAAAATGTTTATATGTCCTAAACGGTTTGTAAAATATTGTAATTATACGCGATATTTTTTTGTTTTAATTTCAAACGTCAAAACGTTCATACACGTACATAAAACGTTCAATAATTTTTCGTACTTAAAAATATATATTAACTACTTACGACTACAAATGTGCGCGTAGGAATTTCTAAAACAAATTTGATCGATAACGGTCGTTTAGCATATACACACGTGCACCACGTGCCATGTTTACATTAATATAAAATTATTGAACTAATGTACACGCGTATATAATACGTATTATATATAATATCGTCCTTATAAATATTATAATATATATATATATATATATATATATATATATATATTTACACTGGAGAGCGTATTTTGAGATTAATATTTTTTATTTACGAGTATACTGTGAGAACGACGTGGATTTATTTGTTCAAAAACCGTGGAGATTAATGAAAGAGTTTAAAGTCGGACAATCTGTAGTACCTGACGTCTACATATATCGTAACTCGGAGGTATTTATCGTCAGCCTCTTAGCGAAAGTATAGTCAGTGATATATTGGTAAAAAATGTCTTGGGTATACGCCATTTTCTACAAATAAAAACCTAAATACATTTTTTTTTGCTTAACTCAAAAACTAAGTATATTACCTATTACAATAGTTACCTAATACTCCTTAACTTATTATATACTTAGTATATAACTTAGTTATATTGATATACAATATATTTTATTGGTTTACTTTTAAATTGTATCTTTTACAATAAATATGTATTATCAAAGAAAAAATAATCGACTCTTTACTGAAATAATAGTATATTAGTATAATTATAGTCTATTAGATACCATCACGCTTGTATATCCTCCAAAATCTATCGCATACCTATAACATAATACTTTATTTTGTTTATACGTATTTCTTTAGAAAGTTTGTTATGGGTATACAGCGTATACCCTCATATACCCTCCTATACATCCATGGGTGTGGTATATGCAAAACGGGGAGTTTTCATTTCCTTCGGGTTGCAAAATGTGACATTTTTACCTTGTCGTAGAGATAACGTCAGACTCAGCAGTATAAACGGCTATGTCCGCGAAATGCGTGATAAAACCACCCCCGAACCGGCCGAATGGACCGGAAGAATTAAGAGCGGCAGTAGCGACTCCCGTGTGCCGTTTATGTTCAGATCGTGTTCACGGCGGGGATGAAACATTGTTTTTCGCGGATATTATTTCCGGGGTCTCCACTATCGTTAACTGTATGCGTGCAATAATGTTTGTGTGTGTGTGTGTGTGTGTGTGTGTGTGTGTGTTGTGTGTCTGTGT